ATGCAGCCAAAGCAAAGACCCTGTGATGCTGAGAAAGGGGGTTTTTAGTCTCTCATGAGGAGAGGCCCCAGGAATGGGTGTCAGTGAGCGAGTGACACCGCAAAGTGACAGTAAGAAAGTACAGTGTCAAGCAATGAGCTTGGGGAGATGAAAGAAACTTTACAATGAAAGTGGAGGGAAAAAAATCATAAAGAGTGGTACAAACATACCAAAGGCAAATCTGGCAAAGTTCACAATTTTGTCAAAAGTGTAGGCTCGGATACTTTCAGAGAATAAAGATTTTTTTAGAATGTTTTCTAAGCTACTAAGGCCTGCGGAGGATAGCCCGGCACTCTGGCAGGTGATAGGTAAGCACTAAGTATTAAAGTGACTGGGAGTTGGGCCGAACAGATGCTTAATTCTGTGTTCTCCGAAGTACATTCACTGATAAGTTGTTCTACTGAAAGGAATTTTTAGAGTCAAACATATTTGGGAAATTCAGCATCCTACAATTCCCTCTTAGAGAACCTTAGAAACTCTTAAAGACACTTAGAAAGTTCTACATTAACATAATAAAGGTTTTGAAAAGTCTTAGAGTTGAGAAATCTTTCTTTTAAAAAACCAGCAGTTTCCAGAATTATTTAACCTTATAAACACGTTTTTAGCAACACTCATGAATATTTTTCTGGAAATGTTGAAATGATTATAAACTCCGTCTATCCATGGCAGGGTAAATTTTCTCTTGGTTACAAACTATAACAAAGGGAAGATGAAAGTAACTGATGTACACCATACCCAGTAATGACAGCTGCAAAATTATGGTTTATTAAAAAACACATCTTTGTTATCATTATGTCTTTTAATGAAAACAAACTATGGAAGAGAGTGTCAAATGGCCATCACTACAAATCAAATCATCTATACACCTTAAAAGTACTGTGTAAGTAATAACCACACAGTCTGTACAGTGAGTGGGTTGACTGATTTAAAAACTTAATGTAGATTTGACCAATTAAATCATCACTGCTCCACTGGGACATCCTGGAGTGTTGTTAATTGTGACAGTGTTTATGAGCATATGGCTCCCTCCCCCTTCACAGACAGAATAGTCAGACATGACCCACAGCTGACATGAGGTACAGAATCATTTTATAATTACTAATCCGAGCCAAATTTTAACAAATACTATAACAGAGAAATCTGTTTCCTATATTAAATATCTTCCAACTTCCCTACACCCATAACCAAAATTAACCAAACACAGGGCCGGGGATTTAGCTCAGTGGTTCTGGCTCCTGTCTCACAAGTGAAAGGTCCCAAGTTCGATCCCCGGTACCAAGTAAAAAAAGAAAAATTAACCAAACATATTCAAATACACATGCAAAGTGTAGAATAAGAAGATGAGAGGATCAGTGCTCCAGCATTGTCTCTATGGCTAATGTCATTTCTCTATTTATATTTTGTGTTTCTCATATAAGAGAAATCATATGATATTTAAGCTTTTGTGTCTTATTTATTTCATTTAACATGATAGTCTCAAAATTCATCTATTCACCCATAAGTACCTCAAGTTTATCCTCATTTATGGCAGAGCTAGGGGATGAGAAAAAGAAATGAGATGTAGTATGTTCATGCGCCAGCTCCCCAAGATGAATGTAGTCATTGTGTACTAAAAACATGTACAATTTTTTTTAAGTTATTTCTTAGTACTGCTCCAAATTGAGAATGTCTCTTAACACAAGTCTCCGGTTAGAGCAGAGACAAATAAGTGTCTTCCTAAACCTTGGAACTTGAAAGGAATTTGAAAGTCTGTGTAGCTATCCTCGTATTTTCTCAATCTATAGCCTAGTACTGCTCCCCTCACATCTAAACTATTGAAATTACCGCTTTAACTAACACAGAAAATGTGTGCCTCAGTGGGTGTTTTCTTGGCTATATTGGAATGTACCTCTCACATGGTAGCACAATGTAGTTTTGTTTTGGTAGGGCAGGCATTTGAGTTGACAGGTAAGTAAATAATTGTCTAGTGTCTTTATAGGTCAGGCTTAAATCCAATGGTACTACCTGAACAATGAGCTGATAAAGAAAAACAAGAAAGAAAAAAGAACTGGAAGGAGCTAGAAAAGGTAAAATTAGACATTGATGATCAATGTTTAATACTTCACAATTTTACTGTTGCATTGCTGCCAAATTTGCATGAAAGAAGATTCTAGAAAACTTTCTGAATATTTTAGCATCTGTGATGCTAGACTCCATTCTTAAATGTCTGTCATTTGTTATATAATTCAATGTGCCTATACCAACGTGATATAGGTTTGGCATAGAATAGAACTGGATTCCAGTCCTCACTCTCACAAAGGCACCAAGGCACCAAGACCTTTGTTGCCCCTCCCCTGGGCATAGTCTACAGTTAACTGGTCACCACACCTAACAACCCAGCTCTGCAATATTAAATCAAACTCTTCACTCCATATCCATGACTTCCTTTGCCTTTAGACCAGCCCATCTGTTCTAGTACACTTTTTCTCCAAATTCTTGCTTCACTTTATTTTGTTTTTCATTACCTCGCTCTTAGTAATATTTTGAACTACTGTAGGCATTGTTATACTTACCTGGAAAACAACTACTTTTATTCTTCTCTGATCACTTATTTTTCCTCGAAGTACAGAAATTATGCTTGTCTTGCTGACCATACTAGAACAGTAAAACTTTAATAAATATTTATGTACTATTGAAGAATATTACTTAACCTCTCAGATATTTTTCTCATCTATAAAATGTGGATAATAGAATAAACTTTTTTGAATATTAAAAATGAGATAACTAATACATGCAAATATCTTGCATATGATAAGTAATCAAATACTGAAAATACCCTTATCTGTTTGCTTTCTCCTAAGACACAGAACCATGCAAAAGGCAAAAAGATGCTAATTCAGAGGCACATTGCAGTAGTTGGAAGTCTCCTAATTCCATTTGGCTTTATGGCCATTATTATAGAGATACACTTAAGTAAAATAAATCAGACACACATCTAAGTATCACATTGTTTCTCTGGTGTGAGAAATTGAAAGTGTAAATAGAGACCAAAGTGTATAACAGATAATGTGAAATAGAAAGAAAAAGCTGAAATGGGAAGGGACACTAGGAATGGAGGAAGGGACAAGGGAGAAAGGGAAAAGGGAAGAAAATGAGAAAAAACCAAAATAGAAACAAAGCTTTTATAAATGAGGGGAAGAAGGGTTGAAGGGGAGGGAGAGGAATGGGAAAAAATATTAAGACATATTATGTACAGGTGCAAAGTCCATATGTGAATGTGATTATTGTGTATATCTAAATTGTACCAATAAGCTTAATTAAAAATTTAAAAAATAAAAATTAAGAAAAAAATCTACTATGTTTGCAACTTAATTTCTTAACAATTTTTTCTAACAATCCAGATAAATTTTATTTTTAAAAATAGATTGCACCTATTTATGCATCAATGTTTCCATATAGCCAAATGGGTTATTTATAAATATAAATGATCAAACAAGGATTGTTCTTATGTAATTAATCCCACACTAATTAAATTATGCAGGATATTTACAATCTGCTAGGCAAAGCATAAAGAGACCAAAGGGCTACTTAAGAGAATAAAACAGGATACAGCAAGAAATCTTTATTTCTGACCACGAGGAAAGTTCTTTTCAGCTCAGACTCCTCTCTGAATATTAATCTTCCTGAAAAAGCATGTAAGATAAAACCCTTTCTCCTCTGAGCAATTAAAGGACCAGGAGCAAAATCCAAAGAGCTAGAAAATCATGTCAGCAGAAAAAAGAAACCATTGAAGATAATAAGTAATTAGGGCTGACATTTTACAGAGTGTAATTGGGAGATGATGCTGCTTTAAAAGCTCACATTGATTAAAACTCACTATTTAAAGTGAACTTAGTGAACCCACATAAGCAAAGACCATAATATTCTGTAAATAGTGAAATGGCCCCCAATCAAGAAAGGGAGATTCTACCACAGAGCCATGTGGAAAATGAACACTGAATGACGGAGGAAAGTAAAAGCAGAACTTACTGAAGAAAGTGAAAGTACTGAGAAAACATTAGTCTTTATCCAAACTTGTCCAAGTGATATCATGGCTTCTTAATTAGAAGGAATTTAAAATCAGAAATATATTATACATCAACTATATTGCATTATAAATACATATACTTAGAGTTACTATATAATAAGGTATCTACAGGTCTTAACTCTTGAGTACAAGTTTGTTCTCAACTAGTTTTTTTATCACCTGAATTAAAATCTGAGATAAACCCATTCATATATTATAGTCTGAAAATGGATGGACTATACCTGATAATCACAGTCAAGATTTAGGAACCAACCTATTCTCTGGGCTTGGTGGCTCATGCCTGTAATTTTACCTACTCAGAAGGCTGATGCAGAAGGATCTCAAGTTCAAGTCTAGTTTGGGTAGCTTAGCAAGATTCTATCTCAAAATTAAAAACAAAACAAAAAGGATTGGGGATGGAGGATGTACCTCAGTGGTAGATGCTTGTCTAGCATAAGGAAGACCTGTGTTCAATCCCTAGTACCACACACACACCCCAAAAATAGTTTAATAACCCATTGGAATAAAACCTGGCAAATAATAACATTGGTAACTTAATATTATTAATAAAGTTTACCTATTTCTGGGTATTCATATGATTAGACTTGCATATGGAAAATGTAGGGAAGGATATAAAACAATTATGATTTTTAGATAGCTCTATGTCCAGTTTCTTTCCCACACTTTCTCTCATTTATCCTACATATTATTGACAGACTCAGTTGAATGAAATGCATATTTATTTAGCAAAGTAAATATGTACCAGGCACCATACTGGCCCATTAGCTATGATAATGAATGTGGAAAATACAATTTGGGTCCCCAAATTCTTAGAACCCACTGGGTAAATAAATGAAGAAATTAGAGACTACCTTATGTGATACTGTATGTGAGAGGGTGAAAAATGCTAGGGGAAATCCATAGGGAAGTCACCTAAAACTCTTGGATCCAGAGAAGGTTTGCCAGAGGCATGATTTTCTAGATGCTCAGCAAGTGAAGAGCAAATGATGGCCAGATGAATGTGGTGAAATATGTACACCACCAGAGTGTCACTGAAGATTTCAAAGATGACACTGAGATGAGAGAAGTCAATGTGAATAAGAAACGTGAAAAGTCCTTACAAACCACTGTAGGAGAAGGCGTCGTTCCCCTGCTTAGCAATGCAGTCGGACTTTCAAATTGGAACATATTTTCACACGAGCCACTCAGCGTTCATTTCCACTTCTGAGTTGGGATGGAACTACCCTGTGAAAGGAACCTCGGACCACAGTGGGGATTAGAGAAGGGGAAATGTGAGAGTAGGAAAATTGTCATTGTTCTGGCAGTAATGAGGCAAAGAGATGATGTTGGACAGCGGAAGGTTACTGTGGTGAAGGAAAAAAAATAACCACAGGTCAGAGGGATCTAAGAGTCAGAAACAGCAAAACCTAGTGATTGCCTTTGTGTGTTTTAAGTGAAGACAACTCTGGGAGTTGAATACAATGCAGACTTGCCTGAGCAACTGAGTGCCTGGCACTGCTGTTCCTCAGTTTAGGGGACAGGAGTTGGTTTGAGCAAAGGAAAGATCAAATCTTGAATGTGTTCCATGGTATATTGCATGGTGGTCATAACCAAGTCTAAATGGTCCATAAAGATGTAGACACACAAACCTATGTCTCAGGAGGACAATCGGTAAAGAGGTCTAAATTTGGGGACTTGCAAAGATTTCTACAATCTACATATCTGTAAGAGTTCAGGCTCTGCATCTTTTATCCTTCCTTTCCTATTTATATATCCACATTTGCACTCTTACCTGCTCACAAATCTCAGTCTATTAATTGCACATTATTCTATATCTTCATCTCCTCTCTTCTTTGCTGCTTCCTTTCTTTGTCATAATTTACATATGGTAAAACTTCTCTCATTTGACAACAAGTAAGCAAAGCTTGTCTCCCAGCCACCATCCTATATCTCATCTTTTTAACAGAATTACCTACCTTTCCTCTTTTCAGTATTTTCTAAAACATGGCTTCCATTCTTCACTCCCATTTCCATTCCCCTTATCCCACCAAAATTACTGTCTGCTCTTTCACCACAACTGTACTGCTGGCGTAGCTGTGAAATTCAACAACTTTTCTTAGTGCTAGCCTTCAGGGACCTCTCAGCAGGACCTGGCACTGTTTACCACTAATGCCTTCTGAAGGTCCTCACCAGACTCTGTGGCCTCCTATTCTCCTGGTTACTGCTCCTAGGTCTCCTTTAAAAGACCATCACCTGACTTGCAAAGGCAGAGTCACTTCTCTCACATTACGTACATCTCCATCTGATGTCATCTATTCCTGTTGACTGCTATTCTGTATTGATGATTTCCAAGTCTTTATCTCTGGACAGAACTCTCTGATTAGCCACTGTCTAGCCTTGCAACTCTTTGTAACATTGCCAGTCTAGCTTGCTTACTGAGTATGGCTTGGCATACCATGACAGAGGGCACCTGTGTTCTCACTTGCTCCTGTTTCCTAATCTAGAATATTCTACTCTCTTCATCTATTAATTTATATTGCATCACTCTTTATAAACAAGTACAAAGTTTAGTTCTATGGGAGACATTTCTCTAATCACTCCTTCCCCTGGATTCTTTTGATATTCCTGCACCACCCCACAGCACAGGAAGAGTAAATAGATTTCATTTTGAAAGCAAATGCTGAATCACAGATAAAGCTGACCTAGAGTTCGGTGCCAGGGAGATTCACTCCAGCCCAAGTCGAGACACAGTGGTAAAGTGTGTTGATTGATTAGCGATGTCACCTAGGAGCACAGGAGAGAGAAGAGGCGGCCTTAGTTCCCATATTTGCCGTCATGACACAGCTTTTAAGATATACTACTTTGAACTGTTGTTTATCTTGATTACAAATGACCTGTCCCTAAAACAAGATTTTAAATCACAAGCAGGTAAAGATTGGGTTCTATTCTGTTCCACATTTCCATGCCAAAAATCAATCATAAATGAGTATTTGATGAGGAGGAGGAGCTGCCCATAGAATAAATTTTAAAATTGGGTACAAAACTGATGCACAGAAAAAGTGAGTGATCTGAAAAAAGAAGTTGATGTCTTGTTATATATTCTCTAAAGATACATTCCAAAATTAAATCACCTTACTCTCTACAAACCCAGATGGGATTACAGTATTTTTAGAGGACACATTTTCCTTTTGAATCTTATGTGATACCTTCTTTTAAAATTCTATCAATCTTAAAGTATGTGCTGTGGCTGAAGTGACTTCTGCAAAACTATGACATTCATTAAATCCAAAGTTAAGACCTACTCTTAAATATTTCAATTCATTTTTCATTTTAGTAAAATAATTGCTTGAGGTATAGGTTGTATTCATATTTATGAATATATTTTAGAATAAATGAAGTATATAGATGGCCTTATCCCAAAGCAATGTCCAAAAGAGAAAAATTACACAGACAACAAATATCTACAAAAGAAATCATTTTGTACATCTTTGTTTATCTCCTGTGACTTGTCCCATTTCACATATTCTTGGGGATGCCCTTCTTATTATTATAGCATGCAGATCATATGTCTCACAGTTTAGATCAAAGGTGCTGTGGCTTGTGTCTAGATGTCTCCCCAAAGCCTCATGTGCTCATAGGTGGGGCTTTTTCAGAAGGGGATAAATCTACAGTGTGTGATGCTGGGATTAAGGATGTGTGATTACTAAATGAGTCCACTGACTGGTTTGGCATAGTTGTGGGTAGGATTAAGGGTGCCCCACCCTGGGTGTTAGTGAGTATTACTGCCCTAGGGGCTGTTAGCCTGGATAAAAATAACACTAAACTGGCTGGAAGAGAAGTTAGGTAGAAGAACTCTTGAAGACACTGGTGTAGGAAAAGATTTTATGAACAAAACCTCAGTTACCCGTGAACTAGCACAATCAACAAGTGGGATCTCTTCTTACTAAAAAGCTTCTGCACAGCAAGAGAAACCACCAACACTGTGAAGAGACAACCCACAATGTGGGAAAACATTTTCACTAGCTGTCCCTTAGACAAAGGTCTACTATCTAGAATCTATAAAAATGGGTATCTGAAGTAAACACATTTCTCAGATGAAGAAGTAGAAATAGCAAATAAACATATGAAAAAATGTCCCACATCACTGGTCACTCGAGAGATGCAAATGAAAACAATGCTGAGATTCCACCTCACCCCAGAAAGAATGGCTGCTATCATGAAATCAACCAATTACAAATGCTGGTGGGGCTGTGGGGAAAGAGGAACCCTGCTCCACTGCTAGTGGGAGTGTAGACGGGTGCAACCACTGTGGAAATCAGTATGGAGATATCTCAAAGACCTAGGACTGGAAGTCCCATTTGACCCTGCTATTCCACTGCTGGGGATCTTCCGCAAAGAATTAAAAGAATCACACCACAGTGATATATGTGCACCCATGTTCATAGCAGCACATTTTGTAATAGCTAAAACTTGGAAACAGCCCAAATGCCCATCAACTGGAGACTGGATAAAGAAAATGTGGTTTTTAAATAAAATGGAGTATTACTCAGCCATAAAGAATGAGAAACTAGAGACATTTATAGGTAAATGGATGCACATTGAGGCGATACTCTTAAGTGAAATAAATAGGACACACTTGTATAAATAACAAATAGTTTTTCTAGTGTGAGAAATTGAAAGTGTAAATAAGGACTAAAAGTTATAATAGATAATGTGAAATAGGAAGAAAAGGGGCAAAGGGGAAGGGGAAGTGGGAGGGGTAGGGGAAAGGAAAGAAGGGAATGGAATTACTATGAAAAAATGGAAGCAAAGTCTTTGTAAATAGGGAGGGATGGAGGGGTTGAAGGGAGGGGAGGGGAAGGGGGAAAAATAAGAACCAAGAGAGATTATGTAAAGGTGCAAATTTCCAGTGATGAATGTCCTTATATTGTATAGCTTAAATGTACCAATAAAATTAATTAAAAATATGTATATATAAGGAACAGAAAGAGTTGCTGTGGCTGTTGCTTGCTGCTTTACCATAAAATGTTTCTCCTCTGTGATGTCCCTCTGCCATGCCACCCTACCTTGCAGCCAGCCAACTATGAACTGCAACCTCTACAAACTGTCAGTCAAATAAACCTTCCCTCCTTTAACTTTGGGAATTGGGTGTTTTGTTTCACCAATGAGAAAAGTAAGACAAAAGGGAACTCTTGATATATTGAAAAACTGAATCCTTGAATCAGATATTTAAATATTTAATGTCTTCACTCAGTTTCTAAGTTTTAAACCAATTCATTTTTATTTTTAATGTCCTTAACATGGATTCAGTCTCTAAGTTTTAAACAAATTCATTATTTTAATGTTTTTAATATAGACTTAGTTGTATTAGTGGTTCACAGACTTAAATGATTTCATAGTTTCCAACTGACAATCAAAACACACAGTTTCCAAACTTAGCTTCTTATATTGCTCCTCCTCCACTGTCCGCTGTGCTACATTTCTGCACCTGAGGAATACACTGTGGTCCCAGAGAAGAGTCGCTGTCTTAGAGAGACATGGTTCTGAAATAATCAGAAGATAACTTCTAGAACTATCTCACCTAACTGAATGATGGAGAGAGCATTGTTTCGAGAATCAGGCAAGCCAGATTTTAAATCTCTCTCTCTAGCAAGCTGTTTAATTTCCATGTCTGTAGAGCAAGTATCTCATATGCAAAATGGGAATACAACGCCTATTATGAAGAAGAGTGTGCCTTCAAATGAATGTTTATGTTTGAAGAGTTTAAAGCCTAGAATATTATGAAATGACATATAGATGCTGTAAGTGAATAGTATTCTCCTTTAAAATGATCAAAAATGAAATGACAAACTGAAAAAATCTATATTTAATGCAACTTTTATTAATTTCCCATATAGCATTCCTGGAAGTATTTCCTTGACTAAAATGGGGAAAGACAACAAATTTTAAATACTAAAATAAATTTTATAGTAGAAGTGGTAATGTTTCAGTATCTGACCTGTCTCTGTCTCAAGAAATTTTAAATATAAAAACAATTTTTATGGTAGAAATACTAATGTTTAAATATCCTATCTGTCATATTGACTGGGGTGGTATACATTGTTTTCTTCCCTTTTTTGCTGTTTTATAGTTAAAAATTAACAACCTAACAGAAGAGTCCCTAATATAATTTATAACATAGTATTAAATAAGTAATAGGCATTGCAATCCTTTTGTAATGAAATAGTGTTTAAAAAGAAATACTAATAAAGGGAACTGGAACATTTATTTTCAAAATATGTTAATAAAATAATGCTTAAAATTGTGTTCTATTTTCATGGCTCAACAAATTTCTAAGGTCTTTTTCCTCTCTTATTTCCAAAAAATAGTAATTAAGTAGGAAGAACATGATTGATAGAGAGTAGATCCAACTTGCCATTTTCTCTACAGTGGGCATACTCTTATATTTCTATAAAAGGTCCTAACAGTCTCCTTGGCCGTGTCACTGCTGATTGGTTTACGGTAACCAAAAGGAGATGTTGAACAATGCCAAGATCTGTAAAGAACATCAGCAATGATCAAAACGCAAATGAGATCTAAACTGAGGCACTTTGGGCATGGTGTGGCTTTCCTTGTGCCCCCCATCACCTCTAGGTGGAGGGAGATTCTATGGAGATTTGAACAATATTTACTATATAAGTGCATACTGGGGATGTGAGGAGACCCATCTTACCACAAAGGTTTATGAGTAGGAAAGCAAGAGGCAGAAGATATTGTATCTTGAATCTCAGGAAAATAGAGATGGAAAAGATGGAGTAAATAAAATGAAATGCAAAATAAGAATTCGAGTTTTATAAAACTTACAATTCAATTATCTACACATAAAAGTGATCTTGGAGAGTCAGAATATATATTTGAGAAGTGCTCTGTATCCCTTCAGGAGTCCAGAGCATTAACTGGAAATTATTATTAGTTTAGAGCCAAATAATTTTGGTTGTTTTAGTATGTCCCAGAGTAGGTAATATCTTGAATATTATTTAATTTACTGTTATCTGGCCTGTCTAACAAAAAAGTGTTCTGCAGGTAGAATAATAGTCTGAGAGAATAAAGTGTTTCAATAAATAACTGATCATCAGAACCTATAGATTTGGTCATTTACAAAACATTAATTCTCAAGGAAATCACAAGCATTATGTTATTTCTGTAGTGTTCCAATAGTGCTGGAGATCTCAAAATACTATTACAGGGATTAATGTGGCAGCACATTACAAACTCCTCAAATAATTGGTTTTATGTAAAACTCAAAATAGTAATAATATGTTAAAAACCTGAAAAAACTTAGAGGTCAAAGATAGGACTTTCTATATAAAAATAACACTGTATTGTGCTCTTTGAAGCTGCAATTTGGGAGGGTGAATTTTTATTTTCTCCAATGACACATAATTCTATGAAAAAATTAGATCGAGATATGAAATAGAGGACACCTGGAGACAGATGAATTGGAAAGCTAACTTTGAAATGAATCATTGAGCTAATGTGTAAAAGCTATGGGTTTAAATGTTTTATCTATGCTTCTTTTGCTAATTGTATTTGTTTCCTGCTGCTGCTCTTATTGCTGTGATGTTTTTAATACTAAATCTGTGTGTGTAAAGAATGAGGCCTGTTACCTTTCATGTTTGGAGTATCTAGAGAAGCCTGCCCTTTATTTAATGGAGAAAAGAGTTCCAATGTTGAGTAGTGCTGATGTACCTGTCATTTTCCAAACCACTTCCTGTCTATCTCTGGAAAAAATGACTGAGGGTCTT